AGCCTTCATTTTTTTTTAAACCCATGGTCTTATTCATCATCTGGTCTAGAGAATGGGGGCACCCTAGCTCAGCTCACTGCAACCTGCAACTCCTGGGCTTAAGCAATTCTCCTGTCTCTGCCTCCCAAGTAGCTAGGACTATAGGCATGGACCACCATGCCTGGCTAAATTTTTTCCATTTTTAATGGAGACAGGGTCTTGCTCTTGCTTAGGCTGGTCTTGAACTCCTGAGCTTAAGGTATTCTCCTGCCTCAGCTTTCCAAAGTGCTAGGGTTACAAGTGTGAGCCCCTGTGACTGGCCCTGCCTTTCCTTTTAACAGTACTTTTCTGAGGGAAACAAGAGTGAGAAATGATTGCATTTCAGGGGGAGTCTTTTTTTTTTTTTTCCTGAGACAGAGTTTCTCTCTGGCACCCTAACTAGAGTGCTGTGGCATTATAGCTCACAGCAACCTCAAGTTATTCTGCTCAAGCTTTCCTCTTGCCTTAGGTTTTCTATTTTTAGTAGAGATGGGGATCTCCCTCTTGCTCAGGCTGGTCTTGAACTGCTGAGTGCAAGTATGCCACTTGTCTTGGCCTCCCAAGAGTGCTAGGATTACAGGCATTAGCCACCATGCCTGGCCAACCTCAAACTCTTGGGCTCTTGCTTCAACCTCCCAAGTAGCTGAGACTATAGGTGACAGCTACAATACCTGGCTAGTTTTTGTATTCTTAGTAGAAACATGGTCTTGCTCTTGCTCAGGCTGGTCTTTTTCTTTTTCTTCATGAATATATATATATATATATACATACATACACAGAGTCTCACTATGTTGCCCTTGGTAAAGTGCTGTGGTGTCACAGCTCACAGCAATCTCAAACTCTTGGGCTTAAGCGATTGTATTGCTTCAGCCTTCCAAGTAGCTGGGACTACAGCACCGGCCACAATGCCTGGCTATTTTTTGGTTGTTGTCATCGTTGTTTGGCAGGCCTGGGCTGGGTTCGAACTGCCACCTCCAGTGTATGTGGTTGTCACCCTAGCCGCTGAGCTACAGGCTCTGGGCGGGCCTGCAGGGAGCTTGTTAACACATATATGTGTGTGTGTGTGTGTGTGTGTGTGTGTGAAGCCTGCACCACAGCGCACGCAAGAGACCATGCACATAGTGATGTGGAATGTTCGTGCTGCAGGGGGTGTGGGGAGTTATGTGTTCTGTGTGGTGTGTGAGGGGCGCACGCATGTTGTATTAGTGTGTGGTGAGTAGATTTTCTGGGTGTACATGCATGTGCGGAGTGTGTATGCTGTACTTAAGGGCGTGAGGGGAGGTTGCTAGGAATGCAGCTTGCCCTGCACTCGGGATAGAACAAGTCTATGGAGATACAAACGGACTCTATTGAGCAGTATTTTCTCCGGGAAGGAAGGACTGGTGGCGGAAGTGGGGTGGCGGAGCAGGGATGGTTACCTCTGGTGGCTCCAGGGTCGGGCTGCCATAGTGGCTGGGAGCTGACTTCAAGTCCTCATCTCAACAGTTTGGTCTTGGTGACTCCTGCCCGACCTGGGGGACCTCGTAGAAGAGGGAATGTTGGAGTGGTAACGGGGGTCTTGGAGGCAGTCGCTCCGCTGGTGACAAGTCGGGGGTTTGTAAGGGCTGAAAGCGCTGGGAGTCGTCCGAAGTGTGAGGCTTAAAGCATGGCTGGGGCGGGGCTAAGAACGGGTCTAGGGGCGTGGCCAGGCGTAGTCTTAAGAATTGGGGCTGCGGTCTAAGGGCGGGGCTAAAATCTGGGGTTTGGACTAAGTTGGGTCTAGAGAGGAGCTAAGGATGGGTGGGATTGAGGGCTGGGCTTGTCAGTAAGGTCCGAGATAAAGGGGCAGTACTAAGGTTAAAGGTGGCACAAAGGTGCCCTGGGAGGAGGTGGGAGGTCCCGGATGAAGAACGCAGCTGACGCGCAGACACGGGCTGGGAAGACGACGCAACTTAGAGCGGGAAGGGGGGAGGCGGGTGGGGGGCCTGGGCAAGCATGAGGCGGAGTTAGGGGCTAGACTGGGGCGAGGCTGAGACTGGAATTTACGGTTGGCCCGAGGGCTCGGCCTAGCTGAGGTTCAGAGTTGGACTTCTGTGAGGAAGAGTCCTGTAGAGACGAACAACGAGTCTGAGAGCCATGTGGGTCAGGACGACACTAAGAATCGAAAGGTGGACCAAGGAAAAGACTGAGTGTAAGCCCAGCAGTTGTGATAAGAGCCGGAACAACGGTAAGGTGGAGCGGGCAGAAGACTAGGGGCGTGGCCTGGGGCTGGCTCTGGCGGAGCGGAGAGGGGGCGGGACCCTAAGGGAGGAGGCGGGGCCCAGGACGGGGTTGGGGCAGTGTGTGGCTGGAGCCAAGAACTGAAGCTCTTGGATATAGGACTGGGATCACCACTGTGCCGCAGCTGCGGGGCCTAGCTGCTGCCCATGAGGCGCCAGACTTGGCTGAAGCCTGTATGGGGTCCTGCGCCCACGCAAAAGCGGGGACTGGGGTGGGCTATTCCGTTGACCCTGAGGACAGGAAGGAACCTGGAGCTTCTACACGTGACATCATAATTATCTCCGGGTGGGGGCGGGGCCGAGGAGGCACTTCCTAGGAGACTTGGACGCACTGCCCCTCCCTTGCTCCCCCCGCTTCCCTGCTTCCCTTCCTTGATTCCTCCCCCACCTTCTTCCCTCCTCCCCTCCCTTCCCCCTTCGGCTGCTCTGGTGCCCACCCCCTGTGCCTCAAGGGCAGGGGGAGCTCCTCGGCTCCGCAGGACGGGGAGGATTCTGTACAAATGAGCATCACCTGTGAGTTTTGAGTTAACGCCTCTGCGCTCCGTTTAATGCCCCACGAGAAAAAGACCACAAACCTCCTACTTCCTTTCACACTGTCGCCCTCCCAGTTCATGATGGAAGTCCGTTCTGCATCCAGCCTCAATTACTCTCCTACTGCAGGAGCTCTGGACTGCCGCTCCATTCAGAGTTCCCCATCTGTTCTCTGTGGAACTAAAGAGCAGGTTATTTTTCTCAGATCTGAAGAGAGTTACTAAATTCCTCTATCCCTCTGTCCTTCCTCCTCTCCTACCCCTCACAAACAGAGCTGGTGGGTGTCGGAGCTTGTTGAGAGTTAGTGTAAAATAAGCAGGCTCTGACCCTGCTTATTTCCTGCATGAAAAACGTCAGTTGTGTTGGCCCTGGAAAGAGCAAGCCCAGTGGAGTCAGAGCACAGTTTGAATCCTGGCCTTGGTTTGGGCCACTATGGCATAACCATAGGGTCCAGGCTGGATAAAGGAGACTGTGGAGTCAGGATTGAGTAAAACCAGAGAACGAAGAGTTGGTAGTGTTGGCACTGAAAAGCCAGGTAGAGTAGGAGGTGACAGCTAGAAGGACAGGTTTTGGATAGGGAGCTGAATGTCATTTTAAGACATAATTGTGGGGCTCATGACATGTCTGCCATCAGTAGATAGGGCTGAAAAAGCACAGGCTATGGATTCAGGAAAACCTCGGTTTGAATCCTGCCATCTTTAATTTGTGTCTTTGGATACTTAGCCTCTGAGTTCTGAGTCCCCATCCATAGAATGAGGCTGTGGTAGGGATTTAGAATCAAAGGTATGTTTTGGCTCGGTGCCTGTGGCTCAAGTGGCTAAGGCGCCCCCCTAAGGTGGCAGGTTCGAATCCAGCCCGGGCCGCCAAAACAACAATGATGGCTGCAACAACCAAAAAAACAGCTGGGCGTTGTGGCGGACGCCTGTGG